AGCCTCAACCCAGCAGGAATGCTGTAGGACACAGGGACTTGTATCCAAGGATCCAAGGCACCTCTAATCCTGCTAGGGGGTGTCTCCCGATTGGCTGGTTCCTCCAATGTTAGGGGCCTGATGCAGAGCGGGAACTAGGAAGGGAAGCCGGGAGCCATCTTGGGATGGAAGCCAGGAGCTGCCTTAGAGCGTGATGGTGTAGGACACTCGCAGCCAGTGGAGCAACTCAAAGACAGAATGGACTGACTCCCTGTGGACCTGGGGCGAGATCGCTGGCCATGGAGGCGTGAGCGAATGCTAGTGGGGCTATGGGCATGGCACGGTCTGGTAAGGCAGGCTCTGAGTCACGGCGATGCGGGGCTAGGCACTGGGTACTCATTCCTTTGTAAGTTAATAAACTCACATAAAATATATTATATGGTTTGTCTGATCACGCAGGAGACCCAGTGAGAATTTGGGCCACGGGGGGCTGTGGCTGCCTCCTGGGGAGAGTTTGGTTAGAACCAGAGTGGACTGGGCCTGGGCAGGCTGAGTAGGTGTTAGTAGGTTTGGACTTGATGGATGCGACACTAGTCCCTAGTCATGGGTGCTGGGACCTTCAAGCCTCACTGTAGGTAGGGCAGGTTGGGAAGGGTGTCCTTGAAGCCTGGGTCAGAACTTGTAGTGACCACCTTACTTACCAAGGTCAGTCACTCTGGGCAGCCCGGTGCAGCGGCTCCTGGGCCCAAGGGACCACTGCCCAGTAGAGACCACTAGATAGCCCCCAGCTCCAGGTCTGAAGCAGTTCTTTCCAAAATCAGTATGCCCTGCACATCCCCATCCTCAGCCTTCTTTCCTGGCAGCCCCAGGACTAGCCAGAATGGACAGATGTACCCTATGCCTGGACCCCTCACCCCTGCTCTTGGCCATCCCTGAAGGTAGCTCAGAGGAAGGGACTCATTGATGGGGGCTTGGAGGAGTCAAGGGACTGGACATAGAAGGGGCAGAAGTGGGAAGGTTACCAGGACAGGAAGTGGGGAGGGATCTCCCAGACAGCAAGGCAGCCATGACCCCAGGTGGGGATGGAGGTTGCCGGGCACCAGGCTGGGAAGCAGTGGGTCTTACATCAGCCTTGGGTGGGTGCTTGGGGGCTCTGCTCCCATGTCTATGTGTGTTTCATATCTTCACCAGGGCCATGTTCCCTCTGAGACGAGAGGAGCAACTCCATATAAGACAGAGTACCCGGGAAGGTGCTTGTCTGGCCAAGTGCCTCCTCAGCAACATGGCAGCCCTGCGCCTGCCTCACCTGAGTGGAAACCTCTCCCCAGGGTCTTGTCCCAGGTGGAAGATCAGGGGCAGCTCCGTGTGCTCTTCCTGGGTATGAGTTGTGACTCCTGAGACATTCTGCCCAGGGCAGAAGTTGATGCCCTGCAATGAGAGGCACGGAGGGCAGGTGAGCACTCCAAACCAGACCATGCTATAAGAGGTGCCGTGCTGGTTCTGTTCCTCACGTGTCCCCACACCTGGTGCTGCAATGTGTACTGAGGAATGAACCTGAGTGAGGCAGACTGTGGCCACTCTGCTGAAAGATCTTCAGACCCAGGGT